CAATTTCTTTCTGTCTGCAAGTCAAGCTACAGGAGCTATGGGCCTTCCTCAGAGTCAGCTGCCACAGGTCAATGTTCCCTATGTGATGGTGCCATCTACAGCTCTTGCTGCATTCCCATTCATCTGCTCTCCTGCCAACCCACTCTCTGCTGTCTCTAGTGGGCCTGCTACTAATCCTGGTGGTATGAATTACAGCCTACCTGGCATGGCTTCTCCTTCACATATCATGTTTGGTGCACCACCAGTAGGATCTCCTCCACTATGTGAAACTTCCCTAGAATCACCATCAGCTCTTCCTCCAGTGTGTGTGAGTCCAGTGCCTGGAAAACTCGCCTGTTCTACAGCTGCAGACTCCCCTGTGTGTGTTGTCCAGCCTGTGCCTATCAAACCACACCAGGTAAAGAATCCTTTTGTTCTATTTTTCCCACTGCTGAAACAATATTAACAAATAAACTAGCTGCCCCCATTGACTTGTATTTGAAGGTCAATTCAAATAAGTTTCACACTCAAACGAAATAGTGTCCTGATACATTTGAAGGCTGTGGGACTGTTATGTTTGACCTTGTATCACTACTTGGTGAGTCACTACCCTGAAACAAGCATTTGCATATTGGTATCCCAGTACCTGATATGCACATGCACTTGTTGTGGGTTAGTGACTCAATAATTGGTGAAGAAAAGCTAGTCATTCGCTTTAAGATTTTTCTTGTTCAGCCTCCTGGGATACTTTTTTTTTTTTTTTTATTCCTCTACTCTACAGCCACACTAGAGCATGGATAGAGGAATTGCCCCTGCCGGCTATTGTAATATGTTGTCAAAATATCTGAAAAATCACTAAAGATATCCCTGTCAAAAAACATGTTTTCTAAGTTAAATGCGTTTTTTACATTTATAGAAGAAAATAGGTCACCAGCACTCCATAAGTTAAAATGAATGAGTCCTTTTAATGGACAATGATGTCACAGAAATCCAACATGAGCCGACATTTCGGGGCCACACAGGGTCCCTTCTTCAAGGCAAAAAAAAGACCCTGTGTGGCCCCGAAATGTCGGCTCATGTTGGATTTCTGTGACATCATTGTCCATTAAAAGGACTCATTCATTTTAACTTATGGAGTGCTGGTGACCTATTTTCTTCAATCTTGTGTTTTGCACGGTGCCATCCGTGAAGTTACTTCGAGCACCATTTATTTGATTGTTGGCCGGGACTGCTGAAAGGTGTGCGGAGGGCACCTCCATCAATTGCATCTTTTACATTTATAGGACTTTTTTTTTTTTTAGATGTATTGCTTATTTTATTTCACTTTTTTTCCCCTCTCTCTTAAATCAGTCGCCATTAACTCCAAAGAGTATACGTCCAGTTCACAAAGACACGTTCTTTAAGACGCCTGGCAGTTTGGGAGTGCCTTCAACTCTTCAGAAGAACGAGAGGTCTCAAGCCAGGAACTCAAGCTCTGCCCAGAGGAGACTAGACATCTGCTGTAGCTCAGATGATTGAATGGATGGCCTCTAACTCGCTCTCTTATCTCTAGAACTGTGTGACCTCTGGAACACTGTCCCCTGTAGTCCATCATTTTATAGGTGTCAAAAAAAACCCTGTTTTATTTTACCTAGGAATTAGGTAGAATTTCACTTTAATATCTTACTGGTGTATGATAATCCATGTAAAATTTTGGTTTTGAGATGCCTGGAAAAACCAGCCAGCACTTAACTGACACTGACTTGACCAGTTGTCCAGATTACTGGATGTCAACAAGTAATTATGTAAGGGTCACTGAGTTTACATTTTTTAAATTTGTTATCTTATTCAAATGGTGTGAATGGGAGCATATGCCAAAAGCTGTAAATGCCACCTGTCTCTATAGCAACACACTAACTGTTAAATGGTTTGGGTGAGATACCGTTACTAGTTCCAGATGCTCTTAAGAGCAGTTGATTTGCTACTTGAAAATGAATTACTTGTAGCTTGGTCATTATATTCGAAAACTTCAGTATCTGAAGTTAAATTTTAAAAAATACAATATTGTATAATCACACCAAATTAACTGTGAATCTTCCTTTTTTTTCTTTTTTTTTACCTTGATGTATTGGTGTACAGCCTTACAGAGAATAAATAACACTTATGTATTGTAACACTTTTACAGTGCCTGGTTCACATGGTAACTTTATTATTGGATATATATATATATCATTTTTTTTTCAATTGTGAATTTCAGGGGTTCGGTAATAATAAATAATTTATAATCAGCGTACTTGTCACAAGAGCAAGGTGGATGAAATCACCTCTATCCCTGTTACTTTGTTTTTGTTAGTATGTCCGAAGCTGATGTTATGTCATATTGTTAAGGTCACCAAGGCCCAGTGTCCTCTCTCACATGTACACATTTAAAATGAGCACAGTGAACATAATATACTTTGTTCCATAGCTATTAACACTACATTAGTAGTTATGAACTTTCTTGATTGACTTGAATAGTATTTTTAGCAATGTGATATTTTGTAATATGTTAATTTAGATATTGGTTATTATTCCCTTTTTGAAGGAAGTCTTAATGCTGAAAATCTTTTTTTTTAATGTGCCTGTATTTCTCTATACTTTGGTCACTGTTTCTATAGCGGTAATACTGTTTTTCTTAATAAGCTGATGCTTATTTGCACTGACTGAATTGCAAATTCATAATGTGGCAGGTTATATGGTTTACTAATTCATCTGTTAAATGTAAATAGGCTATCCAATTACTTGAAGGTGTTTTTACCATGTTTACATGAATCACATGGTGCTATTTTTCCATATTCGGCGCTGCTTAGTGTAATATATTATTGCACTGCTAGTTTTTTATATATTTCTGCTGCTTGTAACACTTTTATCATTTTAGGTCTTACTGTATGTGCTTTTTAGCTATGTTCCTCCATAGCTCTAAACAAATGAAAATGAATGTACAGGGTGTATTATAATATTAAAAAGACCAATAAAACACTTGGTACTAAATGATTTGTTTGGTACTATGAACATAACTGGGGTTGCATGTTTCTGGGAACAACTGAACCTTGTTGAATAGATTTTATGATCACTTACACATTGTACAATTTTTGGGGGTGAGTAAATACTGTGTTTGTTTTACTAAAGGCAATGCGTATGTTCTTTGAGGGGAATTCATCAACAGTGGAGCAGACAAAATCTGGAGCAGTTGCACAGGGCAACTAATCTGCTTCTTTCTTCAATTCAGTTAAAATTTGAAAGTGATAAGTTGAGTAGTTGTTGTGCCAAGCTGCTCCAGTTTTGCTTAATTCCCCTCTTTGAGTTGTCCATAAATCCATTACAATCGATTTACATATTTTTTTTAATAAGCTACCACATGTACACTATGTCTAAACACTGCCCTCAGGCAAAATCTTGTGTTATTTGAAAGATGAAACTATCTCCATACATCAAACACACAGCACTGTAGGAATACTCTGTTCTCAGGCCTGGTTCACACCTGGGCGTTTTACAGCACGTTCCTACACGCTGTAAAACGCCCAACATGTGAAAACCAATGATTGCCTATGGGCATGGTTCCCACCTGGGCGTTTTACAGCGTGTAGGAACGTGCTGCAAAACGCCCTACGCCCAAAGAAGTACAGGAGCTTCTTTGGGGCGTTTTGCCGCACGTTTCCATTGGTATTCCCGAGTGTGGATTGGGGGTTAACAAAGCGGTAACCCCGAGCCACACTCGGGAATACAGCGTACAGGTCTTACCCTGTCCGCGATCCCCGCTGTGTCTTCGGCGGCTTCCGTCCCTTGCGAGCGGGCGCGTCGCAGGGGGGCGGAGCCGGCGGTAAGTTTAAAAGTGAAACTAAAAAAAATATTTTTGTTTTTTTTTTAACCAGTTGTTAAACCCCCTTCCTGGCCAGGCCATTTTTCAGTATTCAGCGCTGTGGTACTTTGACTGACATATTTATTCCGTCATGCAGCGCTGTACTGAAATGAATTTTATACCATTTTTAGGGACAGATAGAGCTTTCTTTAAGTGGTATTTATTCACCACTGGGGTTTTTATTTTTTACTATATTAAGGAAAAATTACCGAAATTTTACAAAAAAAAACTTTCCCCCTATATTAAATGAAAACATTTATTACCCAATTTTTTGGTAAAATATAAAAGACGGGGTCACGTCGGGTAAAAAGACACCAAACATGTCAAGCCTTAAAATTGCGTGCGCGCGCGAAACCTCAAAACGATAATACCCAAAATTGACCACAGGCGACGCTTTAAAAGCTTTTACCGCTCATCAGTTTAGTGTTATCAGTGATTGATGGCCCTAAAATAAAAGCTCTCACTGCGATTTTTGCGGCGATATGTAACGTGTGTAGCGCAATTGTCATTTTCGCGCGCTGGTGCACTGGACGCATATTTACGTTTATATGTGCGTAAACGTGGGGGAGTTATAAATTTTGGGGGGGTTTTTTTATGTGACTATTTTATTTATATATTTTTTTTGCACTTATTGTTATTGCTATTATATAGGAGGATAACAATCCCCCTATATAATAGCAAAGGCACACTGACAGGTCCTCTTTATGGAGACATTAGGGGTCTCTAGGACCCCTAATGTCACCTGTGATTTTCTGCCTGTGCGTGCCCGCAGAAAAAAAATGCCGTCTGGAGACGGCAATGCAGCAGTGCCGTCCATCCGTTTTTTTACAACGGGCGGACGGCAACTGGTTAAAGAAAAAAAAATCATACCGCCAGTGAAACGCGCGTTTCACTGAACAAAAAAACAAGCATAAAAAAACCGCTCAGGTGTGAACCCAGCCTTAAGGTTCAATAGCTATGGCATGGATAACTCCACCTTCTTCCAGCATGCCTCAATTTTTTTTTTTCTGTACCCTGTTGCTTGAGCTGGTCTCTATATAGTTGCTATCTGGCTCAGTATTTCCTCAGCACTAGGGGAAAAATTTAGCATAGGGTAGTGGAGAGTGAGAGCTAAAGTTGCAGAAGAAAGAATCTGGCAAACAGCTGAGGGTCATGGCACACAGCAGACGAGAGTATCCAGGAAACGTAGCTGATGCTCAAAACAGGCAGCAAACGAGAAGTTTCTGAAAAACGAAGCTGAGGGTCAGAAACTCAGGAGCAGTGGTGTATTTATGTATTTGGCTGCCCTAGGCAAGCCGCCCTCCACTCCTACACACAGACGGGCTCCGGCTCTCCCCTCCTCTTCACAACATAGGCGTTTGACTACGGCCGCCCCCCAGGAAGGTGCCGCCCTAGGCACACGCCTACTTTGCCTCGCGGTAAATATGCCCCTGCTCAGGAGTACACTTGTTCAGCCAGAAAACACTAAGGCACAAGCTGATGTTTAAATAGAGCTCCTCCAGAAACACGTCCCAGCTGGGAGCATGTGGCCAGATACATTACTCCACAGCTGAGAAGACAAGATTGCAGCCAGCAACATAGCCTATGAACAATGTGGCCAGATTCATAACCTCATAGCTGATTGGGACAGGGCTGCAGCCAGCAACACAGGCTGCCTGACAGGTGGTAGAGCATGCCCTAACAAGAACCAATACCTCCTCATTAGACGTATCTATTGTGTTTGGTAACTGAAAGAGAGCACAGAGCTCTTGTCTGGCTATGAGACTGTCCTAAACCTTGTGTAAGCTTTCACAGAAAGAACGTGGATCTGCTTCTATTCATTGCTGTGGAGTAGCAAAGGAAAAGTACGTTTAAGTAGCATGTAGTTTAGCGTTTTATGTGAACTTGTTGCTTTGCTCGGCACTGGCAAATCAGATTTGGCAATACAACAATTGCAACACCCTGCACTGCAACATTCTACTGTTTCCTGCCCCTACTGGAACTAACCTGACCAACAAATACTGTGAAACACATATACAGGCAGTCCCCAGGTTACATACAAGATAGCGACTTAAGGTTTGTACTTAAGTTGAATTTGTATGCAAGTCTGAACAGGTAAATGTTTTAAGTGTAACTCCAGCCAAAAAAACATTTTTTTAGTTTTGAATAGCATTGGGAAGGGGCACGTTTGTTTTGCTGTATGTTCCTGTTGGTCAGAAGATTATAATATAATAAAAAACATTTTTTAATTTAAAATGAACCCCCAAAAAGTTTTTTTTTTAATATTCTTAATTTTATTTTATAAACTTGTTTTTTTTTTTTATTTGTTTGCATTTTTAATTTTTATTTATTTAACTTTTT